CGTGAATTCAGGGGTTAAGTTCTAGATATTTAAATTTGTCAACTGACAAACTACAAAACTACAAAAGGAAAAGTTTAATTAAGATTGATAATGAAACTTTTATAAAATATGTTCAACATGTCTTCCATTTTCTTGAATGCAGAGCAGAAGTCTATATTTGAAAGACTGTTCTATCCTGCGCAAGACAGCTGGTGTAATGCTGCCAAAAGCATTATTTATTTATTCTAAGTCGCATATTTTCGGAAGAAGCTGGTGGCTCGGTGGCTCGACGTAAACCATATTTTTTATGTATCCCTATAAGAAAAAATCCAGTTTTGTTAAATCTGGTGATCTAGCGGGCCACCGTACAGGCCCATTCCGTCCTATACATTTATTGGGAAATACTTCATTTAGATGATCTCTCACTTCTGCCGAATAGTGAGCAGGTGCACATACATTGTTCCATTCATATGTCCCTCAAAAAAGTATGGACCAATTACATATTCTTCAGTGATGCTTCCCCAGACATTTATCGACCACCTATGTTGATTGTCCACCTGACTCAATAAGTGGGGATTTTCTGTTGAATAATAATGGTAATTATGTCGATTCACAAATCCATTTTTATGGAATGCCGATTCATCTGACCATAAAATGTTATATTCCTTTCCTTTCCTTGTAATATTCCTTTCAACGAATTTTTCCCATGGCCCAATTGCAAAATCTCACTCTTTTCTTAAAATCGGCATACAGTAGTATGAGATGGATGAAAGCGATGTTTCTTCAAAACTCGTTGCACTGATCTCTCACTTATATCCACTATTTCACCAATTTGTCGTTGACTCCTACTAGGACTCCTACTCCTTCTTCTTGCAATTCATTATCTTCATTAGGAGCTGGCTTGATGCGCTCAGGTTTAGAATAATTGATACATCCAGTTTCAACAAATCGTTTTATTTTATTCGCTGAAGGTTGTTTTAGACCGAAAAAATATGGCACAAATTTCGGTATGATTCAAAACTTTTTTATCTAGCATCAGGTAATTTTAGGCATGGGACGATATTTTAAGGAAAGGCTTGGACCAAAACTATGCATCAAATGAAGAAATTACACAGTGTTCTATTTAGAGAATGTTATAAACATAACATATATCTCGATCACAGGCGTCACATATGGATTTCACAGTAAAAAAATCATCGATATTATGGCGATAAAATAGAGAGTTGTCATTTTTTTAAAAAAAAAAGAAAAACTATAGGACACGCTATAATGTACAAAATTGAAACAAGATATCTTTCGTACATTCTTATCAGTCGTCAAATGGATTTCGCTTTGAAAAAAGTCTTTCATCGAGTTTATGGCATAGAAATAGGAAGAACGACCATTTTTCGAAAAAAAAAATGCTTTTTTAAGAAAAACTATTGAACCTAGCCATAGCGAAAACTCAATGAAATTTGTTGAGGTTTCGTTGGCGCTCCTTATGGATCAATAATATACAGGGTGTTCCATTTAAAATAAGGAAGATTCTGCAAATTTTTATTTACAATATGTGGCAAGCGGTTTCTCATACCCTGTATATCACAAGTAGATTTCAGATATATCATTTGAGAGAGTTACCAATGTAGAATATTTGACAAAAAAAATTCAATTGGACTTGGCACAACTTTATAATTTCAAATATTCTGAGTGACGAATATTGGAAAAAAACCTATCATGCTAGATATCTCGAAAACCGTAAATATTTTCGAAGTGAAGATATACAGGGTGTTTGGTAGCTGGGTGCAAACCTTCAAGGGTGAGATACACTAGCCCATGTAGAACATATTCATACAAACATTTTTATTTTCTAGCGCGTTTTTGATTTTTAAGGGAACTTTTACGATTTTTAGTACAAAAACCCAAAATTGGTCAATTAAATGCTAATAACTTCGAATCTTAACAGAAATGTCCGTTTTTTTTATTTATTTTAGTAGTCTTATGTGTCCCCAATCGTACTAAAGTAGTTTGAAGCACCATTGTGCTTTCGTTTGAGGTATCATTTACCTAGCTAAGTCTTAAACTTTTTTAATTAGGGTACCTGAACCAGTTAAAGGTCGTAAATATGGATATTTGAAAAATTAAAAAAAAAGTAATTTAAATGAAATTCAGCTCAGAAACCTTTAAACGAACATCCTGAAGCAATATGCGATATTATTTTTGGACTGACATGGAATAATAAGAAACTTAGCCCAACTTGGAAGAAGAGAAAACTGAACAAAGGCTGGTGCCGGTGGCATTTTACAACAAAGAATTTGACCTGAAGCTAGTCATTAATTGGAATGCATTCTGTTGTTATGATTTAGACCTTATGCTAGGGCCATAAACTTGCTTTTGAGTTTATCAATTTTTAGGTACCTGAGTTGAGTGATCATCTTGGACCCCTCGCCGGGTCGGTTTGGTTGGCCAAACAAGTTCTCTAGTCACTGCTTTGCCCTTTCGAGTTGCGAGTAGACGTTGGTTTTGTGTTCCCCATTTTTGTAATTCACCGTGTTCAGTTGTAGCCTTTCGCTCCAGCAGGTGTTGTTTATTTTGGACTATCGAACTTTTTGTTGTGTGCTGCCATGGCAGAGTTTACGAGTCATGAACAAGCCGATATCATTTTTATGTATTGCAGAGCTGATGGTAACGCATCTCTGGTACGACGTTTATACCAAGAATGTTACCCGAACCGCAGGTAAATTAATTTCTATTTGTAGCGGTAGTTGAATTTTGCCATTTTCACCTTCAAAAGACGTTGAAACTGAGTTATTTTATTGCAGGGTGCCTAACGTCCGTGTGTTTTCCAACACATATCGAAGGCTGTCTGAATCTGGTATTCATCATGCTGAACCTGCAGTAAATCCAGGAAGACATAATGTCAATGTTGAGGAGCAAATTCTCGCAGCCTTCGAAGCGGATCCTACCACCAGCATCAGAGTTGTAGCGAGAGATTTAAACCTTTCGATATGGAAAGTGTGGAGTACGATGCACAACGAAAAGAAATATCCGTTTCACGGCACGGATGTGCAAGGCTTGGAGGAAACGGATCCGGCGAGACGGATACGGTTCTGCCGTTTTTTGCTAAACGCAGATATTGACGACGCGTGGTTCTTAAAGTCCATGCTCTGGACTGACGAATCTAAGTTCTCCAGGGAAGGAATTACTAATTTCCACAACCTTCATGAATGGGCTGATAAGGACAGCAATCCAAATTGGAAAAAACAGGTAAATAAATGATTTTTATTATTATTGTTTCATTAACCATGTTCAACACGTGTTTAATTACCTAAATTAACTAATTTTATTGCATTTTTGTTTCAGATTTCTTTCTAAAGACAATTTTCAATAAATGTGTGGGCTGGGGTCATCGGACGCACATTGGTTGGCCCACACATTTTGCCTGACAATTTGAATGGACAAAATTACTTCGAATTCATGATAAACGACTAGCCAATGTAACTCTATGATGCCGAAGTGTCAACATTGGACACGGATAGGCCGATCACATTTCAGCAAGATGGATACCCAGCACATTGGGCTGTAAACGTCCGCGAACACCCGAACCGCTGTTTTCCTGGCAACTGGATCTGGAGAGACGGACCCATCCCCTGGCCTGCCAGATCGCCCGACCTGACTCCGTTGGATTTTTTTGTGTGGGGTCGGGTGAAAGAACTCGTATACACAAATGAAATCACCACGAGAGAAGAATTACTTCAGCGAATAGAGGCAGCGTTTGAAATTATGAAACAGGAAATGCAAATGAAAGTAACCACAACTGAAGTACGAAATCGTTGTAGGAAGTGTATACGCAATGGTGGAGGACATTTTGAACAGTACAACAGTACAAAACATGTTTTTCTTTAATTCCACAAAAATCCATATTTACGACCTTTAACTGATTCAGGTACCCTAATTAAAAAAGTTTAAGACTTACCTAGGTAAATGATACCTCAAACAAAAGAGCAATAACTAAGCATATTTTTGAAGGTGTCTGAATACCTGTATGTATTTTATTTATTTTTTTAATTGGCATCAAAGGTCAGATTTTTTATTTTCTTTCTTTTTTTGTAAAGTTTAAATGCTCTTTACATAACTTTTTTGAACACAATGGTGTTTCAAACTACTTTAGTACGATTGGGGACACATAAGACTACTAAAATAAATAAAAAAACCGGACATTTCTCTTAAGATTCGAAGTTATTATGACCAATTTTGGGTTTTTGTACTAAAAATCGTAAAAGTTCCCTTAAAAATCAAAAACGCGCTAGAAAATAAAAATGTTTGTATGAATATGTTCTAATTTTCTATGTAGAAACCGAAAAAACGATAAAAAATATAGGTTGCCATTTGAAAAAACACAGTGGGGATCTGCCCAGAAAAAATTGAACACCCTGTGCGACCGCCAATATTTTTATTTTGTCGAGCTTCAGTAATAAGGTAATATTATAGAAATTTAGATTCCTATCTGTTTCCTAAATAGATATATGGAACACTGCGCCGCTGTTGCAGGACCCTGTATAGAAGTTATGCCATCTGAATGAAAAAGAGGAATGTTTATTCTGGTAAATTTTCAATGAAAAAAATCAGATGTGGTGAATTGAATTGAAAGATATCTCAAGCCTGCCAAAAAAGTACACAATATTTGAATATTCCAGGATATTTTCGCAAAAGTAATAAAGTACCGTTATAGAAACGTGATTCTTCCGATGAAAGTATGAAAACATAGAGCATGAAATGATTTGAATAGGTCTTTTCCAATAGCAATAAATGCCCCAAAAGCGTTATACAATTATCCACTTCGGTTAAACGTTGGTTGAGATAAATAATTTTCTTGTAGCATTTCCAGATAAGCTTAGATTTCGCGATCAAAATTATAAATCTTCATCCTCTTGGTACTCAAAAGATACCTTCTTCATATAGTGCAAAATAAAATTTCATTTTTCAGTTATATGAACTGAAATACGAAGGAATTGGGAATAATAATTTTTGTTGATATGATTTACCTCGAATCTGTATCCGTCTTCTAGCAAATCTGAAACACTACTGGTCGTTTCAGGTGAATATATGATTGAAGCTAGTAAATAATTCTTATAAGTGAGCGAGAAAATGTAACAGGAAAACCACCACAACAAAAGAACTAACTTCACAGGTTTCTGTCTGAACATATTTCCTGCTGGATGGATTTGATCCATTAGTGGTGCTGCAATAACCTGAAATAAACAAATTAATATTGAAACACACAGAAAGGAAAGAGGAAACACGTGTTGCGTTTTTGTAAAACTGTTTATCGAAAATCTCACAATAAAGTGTTTTTTGAAAACGTTATTGATTTTCATCAAGTATAGGTCAATTCCATCATATAATTTTATTTCTATCTATCAAATGAATCCACACCAATGAAGTATATTGAACGAAAACATTTAGGAACTTTTTTAAACTCAGATCAATACGTTATTGAAATGCTCACCATTAAAATTCTGATTTTGTCCTTTCGAGCATTTTTTAAAAAACTACTCGAAATATGCTCTATCAAAAATAGTAAAGTTATGCCCAGTAGGACAAGGAATGACATGATTTGAAAACCTTGAAATGAAAAGATAGAAAGTTGATGCGTTTCTTTATGTTTGTAGAACATTGCCGTCATTCCTCCAATGGTCGTATATCTCATAACATCATATATTCTTGTTCTATACAAATTTTGGTTGATTCCACCAATGCTCCACCAAATCGACCCATTTTCCAACTGTAAAAGAGTATATTTCGATTGATTTGAAATCACTATGAATGAGTAATTCAACAAATTTTTCACTTACATGTTTCAACATTGCGGAATATTTATTTCCCTTGTAGTTAGTGAAAGATATAAGTTTGTATCGGAAATGTAATAGTTTACTCAACAATTTAAGTAATTTAACTTCTGAGCCAGCCAGTCCTGATTTTCTGCAAAATAATGTAAAATGTATCGTTTTAAAAACTATTTTTACACTAAAAATAAACTATTATCATATAGTATCACATATACTGGAATGTTATGTTATGTTAATCCTAAAACGAGTTTCAATTTTTGATGACAAGATTTCGAGAAACCGAATTATATAGAGCAGAAATCGTTTAAATGAAGCTCTTCGTATGATTTGCAGATCGAGGAAGTTTTTGAATGATCAGAATATGTTTGAAAACTTTGAAAACGAAAACTATTACCACATCTAGCCACTAAGACTTTTACATTGAAAAACTTAATAACTTGAGTGTGTGGGTTTTGTTAGATGCAACAGAAAGACGATCTTCCCTGTCACACATTGTCACTGTAAAACGATGAAGTGTAGCGATGATAACGATATAAGCGACCACAGCTTTCCGCCAATGAATTTTGGCATCAAGGTTTCCTATAAATATAGTGAGCAATGCGTTAGTGGAGTTTGTAAGGAAACTGTCGAAACAGTGGACCTTATTTTTTGCGCTTCTCTGAATATGTCGGACCAAAATATTCGAATGAGTTACTTAAAATAGAAAAAGATTGAAAAGAAAAAGAAAAAAATTAGCAAAAATGAATAAATAATGGGTAAAATAATCGAAGAAAGAAATAAACGCAGACAAATTAATATGAATTGAAATGAAAATAAATCAATACATGGGGTCACAATGAGTGGGAACAAACATCATCTAGGCTCTACTCAAACTCAAAGTTTGAGTGGAGGACGCAACCCCTAAAATTTATTTCCAATGTAACTTTTTGTCTTATAATTTGTTTCATTTAAAAATTTATTTCCGATAGCATGTTTTATTCTAAACTAAAATGTCTCTTGGGTTTTTTGCCCAAAATAAACCAGTTCGTAGCAAAAAATTATTTTAGGAACAACTACAGAGATACATCGTCATAAATGCGCTATTACCGATAGTGACAATTAAATTGGTACGACGCTGTCAGTTTGTAAATTTTTGAAATTGTGTGTTGTTGTTCTGTTCTTAATTTGTCACTTCAATAATTCACTTGTTATTAAAATGGCATACACAAATGAGGAAATGGCTGATATGCATTACGTTTACGGTCTGTCGCAGGGGAATGGGTTACAAGCTTCTAGAAGATATGCTGAAATGTATCCTCAACGGCAACATCCTTCACATAGAATATTTGCTTGACTTCATCAACGATTACGAGAATATGGTTCATTCGACAAAAGAACGCAGGATTGTGGTTGCCATCGAGAAGTACGAACACCACAGCTTGTGGAAGCAGTACTTGATTTGATTGAAGAACAACCTACTACCAGTACTAGAAAAATTGCTTTCCAGCTAAATGTTGATCATATGACGGTATTTCGAATTTTAAAGGAACAATTCTTATACCCTTACCATCTGCAACGAGTACAGGCACTGTTACCGCGAGACTTTCCGAACCGTCTTGAATTTTGCATTGGATGCTGGAAATGATTAGAAGAAATTGTGACTTTCTGAAGACGATAGAATTCACAGACGAATGTAGTTTTTCTCGGGACAATATAATTAACTTTCATAATTACCACATATAAGCTGATGAAAACCCTCACGCTATTTTGTCGAAACCAACCATCAAGAACAGTTTTCTCTTAACGTGTGGCTCGGAGTTATTGGGGATGATTTAATTGGGACTCATTTCCTATCTCCTCGATTAAATGGTGAGGCATACGTTCAATTTTTAAGAGAAATGCATCCAGTACTGCTGGAGGAAGTTCCTTTGGGCGTCAGAAGGGATATGTTTTTTATGCATGATGGGGCTCCCGCCCATTTCAGTCAAGTAGCACGTCAGCATTTAACTGAAACATGCAAATCAGTGGATAGGTCGAGGAAGACTACAGAACTGGCCCGCTCGATCCCCGGATCTCAATCCTTACGATTTCTCTATTTGGGGCCATTTACAGCACTTGGTTTATCGTACTCATGTATACGATGTAGATGACTTAAGAAACCCCATCATCGATGCGTGCAGGGTAATCAGAGAGACTCCAGGAATATTTGAGCGAATATGTGGCTCAATGAGCCGACGTCTAGACGCATGCGTAATGTCTGAAGGTAAAAATATTGAACAAAGGCGGCATGCTCAGAAAATGCAATCTCGCCATGTACCCTCTTCGGTCCACTCAAAACGTCCGTTTTCATTGCCAGGTTTGTCATCGGTAGGTAAATCATCGTTATGGGCCCCACCACCTTGCCTCTGACCCCTCCGAGCGGGTCGATTGTGGGGGCCCCTTCTTCGATTATTGGGAACCAAGTGTTGGGTCCACCGGGTGTTTAGCCCTGTGGATCCACGGCCGGCACCGGAGGAAGATTAGAGTTCTCCTCATTATTATTATTATTATTTTTACCGTAGTGTGCGCTTGTCAGGCCCTATCCCCAAAGCCCCGATACATTCGGGAGGGCACGCCAGCATTATCAACCAATGACCACTCCCCACACCGTGGGGTAAGTGATCATTGGGTCCTAGAATCATGTGCCCTGAGCAAGCGCAGTGAGCCAATAATGACAGCCTTCTGCATCTGTACGGCTAAGATTTCTGCCTTCGTGCGGCAAGCCGGTATGATTTTAAGATTTGAGAGTAGGGAGGACATCATTCCACCAAGGACTCCAATAGTCAGAACAACCATCTTGACAGAGTGGTCTGGATAGAGTCTGCGGAGTTCGAAGAGAAAATCTCGATATTTTATCCGTTTTCCTCCTCTTTTCGGACGATATTCGTCTCGCCAGGAGCTGAAAACTCCATGAAAAATATCGTCTTGCTCTGGTGGTCGAGAAGGACTACACCAGGCTTATTAGCTTGTATGAGCCGTAGGATGGGGAACGAATAGTTCCAATAAATTCGGCACGTATCGTTCCCCACAACGGATTCAATATCCCCCGGAGCGTAGGGCAACACCGGTGTCTCGTCAATACCGTAAGAGTGCCGTAGATGATAATATAGCACTCTTAGGGCCGCGTTATGTCGATGGATATAGGCCGAGATCGCATATGCTGGACATGCTGATAGCAAGTGCATTAGGGTCTCGGGCGCCTCGCGACAGGCCCTGCACCTTGTGCCAGGAACCTCTATATCCATCACGCGACTGTGGTAGACTAAGGTGTTGAAGTCACCATCCTGGCAAGCCATGATAAACCCCTCAGTTTCCGACTTCAGCCCACTCGACCTGAGAAAAGTGAAGGTTAGGCGCTTTGATAAGCCAAGGTCCCCACTGTTATTGAAGAAGACCCCATGCATTGGCTCATCCTTGTGTTTCCGCAGAAGTAAGGTGATCTCTGCGGCTTTTATCTGAGATTTTTGCTGAACAGGTTCCAACTCGGTGACAGGGCAGCTGCCTTAAAGAGAAATGCTCCAATTCCTGCTCTCTCATGGTCACGGACCATGCAGAGAAGGGGATCCGAACTCCTGACGACTTTACAGCCTGTATTCAGTACCATTCTGTCACGTAGACACTCCAAACTCAAAAGTCCACGGCCTCCCTGTTGTCGGGGGAAGTACAACCGTGGAACGGACGATTTGGGATGCAAACTCCTATAGAGATGCATCATTTTTCGAGTCTTTACGTCGAGTTGATACAGCTCCTCCCGAGTCCACTTCACTACTCCAAACGAGTAGAGTAAGATTGGAACGGCAAGCATATTTGTTGCAGCTACTTTGTTCTTCCCCGACAGTTCCGATGACCAGATCTGTCGAAGTTTGTGCTGATACTTGCCGCGGAGAGAGTTTTTCACTGCAGTTACCTCTTGTGAGTGGCGTTGTTCCACCCCGAGGTAAGTATACGTCTATCCGGCATCCAGAGGGTGTAGGATGCTTCCATCTACGAGCTGCACATCCTCTCCGTAGTGTACGCATCGTCCTCTTTTGAGATGGACCATTGCACATTTGTCTATCCCGAAATTCATACCGATAGTATGCGTGTACTCTTCCACCACCCTCAAGGACTGATGAAGATCCTTCTCTCCAGAGGCATAAAGTTTAAGATCCTCTATATAAAACAAATGGGTGACCTTGTGCCTCCGGTTTCCGGGGGTGCCACAGTTCTACCCTCGAGTGTTTCTGAGTGGAACGGATAATGGCAATAGTGGGATACAGAAGAGGAGGATACTGAGGGAATCACCCTGAAATACACCCCTTCTGAAAGTGACCCAACCTGTTTGGACTCTTGCTTTACCAGATGTTATGGTAAAGCAAGTTCGCCAAAGTGGTATCAGTTGTTCAATCCATTTCACTATTTTGTCGGGTACCGCAAGGCATCTGAGCAAATGCAAGATGAGCTCATGCGAAATTGTATCAAATGCCTTACGGTAATCGATCCAGGCCATAGAGAGGTTACGCTTATATTGTATCGAGTCCTGCGTTACACATCTATCGATGAACAGGTTCTCTTCACATGCAGCGACTCCTCTCTTCGACCCCTTTCTGCTCATATATCCGCTCGAACACTCGGTCAATTGCGGTGAGTATTCGTGTGTATAAGATGCTTGTAAACAACTTATAACACGAATTCAAGCATGTTATCGGTCTGTAATTCTTAGGAATCGACAAATCTCTGATTTTGGGGATAAGAACGGTTCGCCCCTCGACAAACTAAACCGGAATCGGCTGCTCTCCGTCCATCCATGTGTTGAAAACTCTGGCCAGATGGCGCTGGGTGCTTGGTAGTTTTTTTCACCAATAAGTGTTCAGCCCATCTGGGCCTGGAGCAGCAAAGTTTTTGGAACACACAAGGGCTCTTCGAACGTCATCCAGGGTTATCGGGTTGCGCAGTTCATTGAGCTCAGGCTGTCGAAGCTCTCTGTTGAAAGTTTCGAACTGCGCTAGGGTTGGAGTGTCTAAGTTGAGTGGCTGCGGGTGTTCATAGATATCCTTCCAGAAGGATTCCACCTGATCAGCGGTAGGCGGATTATCCACAACACGTAGAGGCTCTTGTAATAAGCGAGAAGGTTCCTCGCGGAACCTAAGGTTTTCCGCGATACCTCTCGTTCGCCTCACTAGTGACTTCTTAGCAGCCACTAGCATTCGTATCCTATCAAGGCAGGGCTGTTTGGTGGTCAGCAGCACACCTTGACTCAAAGTGTGATGGATACGTCGTAGTTTGGCGGCTATTCGCCCCCCTGCGGGCGTGAAAGGCCTGTTGGCCGCTCTGTAATCCATCACACATTGGATACGAGACGCGTGTTGTCTCGCCGACGTGATCTTAGCCTCCATCTTGTGTACACGCCGTTCAATCTCCCGAACCGCAAGGCCGGGATTTCGTCCTTCCGATTCGGAAACCGATTGGACGACGTTACACACGGTGGTGTTGATTTGCCAGATGTCAGCCTCTTCTGTTAGAACACTATGAACCTCCTCATCCAAACAAGCCAGTTCTTGTGGATTCAGGGGCCTGATTCTGTGGAGCGCCCTGCGTGTTTTGATTGTCGTCTCCATTGGTGGTATGGTGCGAGTCTCCTCTCCAGCCGTGCCAACGGGTGGTAGAACTGTCACTTCCACCACTTCATTAACAGGTTGGGAAGGAGCTAAATAGTCCTGGCGCCGAAGATAAGGTACATAATCCCTAAGGTTTTGGGCAATGCATAAAACTATCTCTTAGCTCATGCGTCCACTCAAAGCGTCCGTTTTTATTGCCAAGGTTGTCATTAGTAAGCAAATCATCGTTATGGGACCCACCATCTTGCCTCTGACCCCTCCGAGCGGGTCGATTGTGGGGGCCCCTTCCTTGATCACTGGGAACCAAGTGTTGAGTCCACCGGGTGGTTAGCCGTGTGGACCCACGGCCGGCACCGGAGGGAGAATAGAGCACGGCCGGCACCGGAGGGAGAATAGAGTTCTCCTTGCCGTGTGCGCCGGGGCTGCCGGTCCGGTTGCTCGGGTAAGAGTTGTCGCAACTCAACAAAGGCCCAGGGTGTTAGTGGCCATCCCTGCTTATTATTATTATTATTATTATGTGAAGGTGGTTCTAATGCTGTAATTAGATGCAGTTCTTCTTATTTTTTCAACAGTCCTCTAACGTAAGGTCCCAGTAACCATTCTGCTGAACATTTTTCCAGTTGTGGCCAAGTCCCTTGTCAAGACTCAATTTCGTGTTACAGACCCTGAGTGCACGATCAATCAGGTCTTGATGATTTCTTCCTTTGGTGGTAGTTGGATTCGTAATTCAGATATTGTCGTGTATGAGTTGGTTGTCAGTATGCATATGTTTCTCTTTTGTTGTCGGCCCTTTTCGCTATCACGTCAAAAAAAAGGAATTCGTTGTGGACCTACTTCTCCATTGTGAATGCTCCCGCTATTGACATGTTGCAAAAATATTCAGGTACAGTTCTGTGTTTCCGTGGCTTAATACTATGGAGGTGTCGTCAACGATACGGCCTCCAGTCTGATATTCTCTGCCAATGGACTCGCCACTTCCAACAATTATAGCCAATACATACATATTTGGGTTCTGGTTTCGACTATTGCAGTGAAAGCTACATGTAAAGACAAATCACAATTCTCGTCTAACCGTCTCGTTTACATTTGATTTTTGTGGACTAAGCACTCTGCCTTTAGGCACGTATGAACAGCCTGAGAAAGCTATTGTATAGTGAAACACATGTTGCGGTTTTTTGAACTGTGAAAGTGAAAATCTCACAATGAAAGCTGAAATTTGACGTAGACATCTTCAACTCAGAGTTCCACTGACAGCTATCGTTCCTAGTGAACTTTTTTAAATTTTTATTGGCAAAATGTTTATACATTTTGAATCAACTTGACCTTTCCATTTACTAAACGAGAACTGAAGAAACAACTGTGTGGTGAAACGCGTCTTATGTAAAATTTTTGTTGTGAAAATCAATTTCAACAGTGGGAATGACAAATAGCGAATAATAACTTACGAAAATTTTCACTTCAATATCTCTGAAAGCAAATACTAGGCTGTTAATTACCACTTGTTTATGATATATTGCAATCTAAGGGTAGCTTCGAAGATTTAAAAATTTTTGGGGACCATGGAAATTTTTCAAAGATTTTTTAATTCATAGTTGACAATTCAATTTTTCGAACATAATTTTTTATTCTGTATCGATACAAAATTTCCGATCTCACTATAATTCAAGAGATCTTAATGTTTTATGTGTATATATAACGGAACAAAAAATACAGAGAAAACACTACAAAAAGTTTAAAAAAATATTCAAACCCATTTGTCTAATTGAAATATTGATGTTCTGTGATTCAAAATAATATCACAGAAGATCACCAAATTCATATGCTGAGTTCGACCACCAAGCGATACACAATATAGGGAACTATTCTCTTCACTTGCAAACAACATTGACATTCTGCAAATCAATCATCCCAGTGCCGAAATTTCTATATTCAATGTCTACAATATGGAATGGCTCAAATTTCCAAATATCAACGACGAACAAGGTCGCGAAGCTGAGGCTTTTGCAATAAGCAGCGGCCTTACTCAGATTATGAATAAGCCAACCAGGATTCCTGACCCTGAGAATAAACTATTCTTTTGGATCTATACCGAACAACCAATATAGGAATTTATACAGTCACCGTAAGGTCTTCATCGGGATTAACTGACTACAAACTCATTTCAGTGTTGAGTGAATTACCGATAAATGTTGGGGAACAATCTAACCCGCGTAAAGTTTTGTATTACAGATCAGCTGAATGGGAGGATCTTCAAGACCATTTCCATAATTTCCCCAGGGTAGATGTTTGTTTCAGTCCTAAAGATCCATCAACTTGTGCTTCTTAAGTCACGGAAGTTATATTAGCATCCATGGATGCATATGTTCCTTTTACAGTGAAACGATCTTCTAACGGCAAACCTTGGTTCAACAAAAATTGCTAGCAAGCTATCGCCTCCAAAAATCTCGCCTACCGGAAGTGGCGCAAAAATCCCAGTGCCGAAAACCGAACTAAGTTCGTTAATCCTCGCAACAGCTGCAAACTTAGGATAAATGAAAGCAACGAATTTCACAATCAGAAAATTAGGGATACACTGCTTGCCAATCCCAACGGTTCTAGATCCTTCTGGTCGGTAGTTGAAGCTGTTAATCAGAATTTCACAAAATCCACAATTCCACCTCTAACACACGCAGATGGTTCAATTGCAACAACAGCCATAGAAAAAACAAATCTACTAGCTGAACAATTTGCGTCACACTCCATAGTTGATTTTCTGGGAAAGACACCACCCACTATTAAATCACTAGAATCCACAATGCCGGAAATTTCTTTTCGATTGATGGCCAAACTTCGATGCTCTGGCTTGTCGGATCATTTTTGTGTATGGCTTCCTGAAAAAACGGTTCCTGCGAGTTGCCGTCGATGATACTTCTCCAAACTTTCACCATCAACGGTGGTGTTTCCCAGGGATCCATATTGTTTCCAACCCTCTTTTTATCGTATATCAACGAATTATCGGAGAAAAACAATAATCCAATATATGGCTTTGCTGATAGCTGCGGCAGCTTCAACGGCAGCAGGAGGTTGAATATCTTAATGAGAATCTAGAAGTAATTTCGAATTAGGGTGAAAATAACCAGTTTCAATTCAATGCCACAAAAACCCAGGAATCGGTTGTCTCCAAAAAGATGAGTTTTTGCCGAACAGAATATAATAATGTCAGTTGACACAATTCCGTTTTCTGCCTTGATACGTTTTTTGGGGGTTAAAATGGACAATATATGTCTTGGCACAAACATTTTGCTGGAATTGCAGATGCTGTTGCTCAAAAGCTTGGAACACTGTTCCAAACCAGAAAAGTGTACAACCTCAGCAACATTTGATGCTTCATAAAGCTCAGATCAAACCTTGGAGTTCATCACGACAGATGTTTTCTACAATAAAAAGGCGAAAATTCTGTTAGTGATATTGAATAGGCTCTGAGTCATTATACATCCTTCAAGGGTGGGATCTTACTTGGCAGATGGATGACGGCGCGGGTATTCATGAAGATTGACGATGGTTCCTCTGGTTGAATAGTTTGTTGAGCCTGATAAGAGGCAACCGTAGCATTTTGGAGTAGTACTTTTTCAAAGTACCCTCGGTCAGTTTCAAATAGTGGATGTTGTTTTTGCATTGTTTTTAATAGTGAAAACTCATCAAATGCAAAAATTAATGTTTTGGACTTGAAGTTACTTACTCAGTTTTATATACATATGGAGCATTCACTGAATATCCAACCCTGAATGTCAGTCCTGTCAAATCAATGAGGTCTTTCGAAATCCATTTTCGATTCAATTCTCCGGATTTAATTGGCTCCCAGTTGCAAATGAATTGAGAGTTTTGGTGGCTGCAAGTAAATAACTTGGAGTCTATTAATGATATCACAATAAGTCCTATACCAGCCCATTTGCTGGAAAATACTTCTGGAACCGATTTCTGCCTGATTAGGAATATGACAATGTCTTTCGAGTATATATTTTTGAATCCAAAATAGTCGGTTTCTGAACCATATGGGTAGCTCAAATCGATAATGTGAATATATCTGTTATCACTACGTTTACTGTAACTATTCATATTTGGCAAATCGTAATTTCTTATGTAATAGGTATGGTTTTCATTATTTACTCGAATCAACAGATCACTGTTCACAGTTCGATTATCACAATGGTAAATGAGTGGGTAGAGATACAATTTCTCGACAATATAAACGACTATCGAATAATCTGGTTCTTCTGTATCTGTTGGATTTGGTATACGTATTTTAGTTGAATAGGCACCTACTGCTAGTAGGATTATCATTTGGGCACATACGTGGAACCTCCTGAAATAAAATAAAGGAGAATTGAAAATTATATATAAAAGAAATACATTTCTTGTGATTTGAGGAATATATCATTCGAAAAAGTATGGTTTCGTTGCAACGATTCTTTCACGGTATCAGAAAATACTCATGCAGTGAAAATATAAGGTAGAGCAAGGCAAAAATTACCAGGAGAAAATTTTTTCGAAAAATTTTAAAACACATCAAATTTTTTCGTAGAGAACTAACTAGGGTACTAACAGGCAGGAGAGGCTCTCCTGATTCTCTAAGGTAACGGGCAGCCATTCAGGTCAAAATATGAAGCTCTGAAATCGTACCTGTTAACCATATTCTTGGAATATTATCTGTGGCAGCCATAATGGCATACTGAAGAGATACCAGTTGATTGGTCAATATTGATCACAGTTGTTCAATGTGGAAGATTCCTACCTCAATAACCGCACCAACCTTCCAATATGATATCTTCGCCTCTGGATTAGGTGAATCGTCGTTAGACCATAAGCGTTTGCTGACCTACTCATGGAGAGTTAGTTTTCTTTTCTGATGCAGATTCTCCCTCTTGACAAGGCGATAAGTCGCTTCCTAGCAGAACCGTCTAGCCCCTAGGGGTTTATTAACATGATTCGATGTTGAAGGAAGGGCAGTTGGGATCATTAAGTTGGCGTCCATGTTCTTAGACTTGGAGTCGAATTCTTTGATTACTTCATAGTCTATAAAGGGACTCACAAGCAGATAGGAAAAGGAGATCCATTTCGGCAGAGTCCCATGTTACCGTGGTGAAGACGCATCTAGATGCCTGGTATCTCGAAAGTTCCTCCACTGAATATGAGTGAGTTCAGAGTCATACATCCTTTCGGTTGGATACATATACCAGGATGAAGCACCGGTTGGAGTATTCTAACACACCTCATTGCAGGGCATCTGTTCAATGTATGCATTTTTATACGATATGATATTAGTAAGAGCTGGTTTTGTAAAATTTTGACGTGAATCTAGTTATACAGGTTAGTTATTGATGCTACAAATTCGGTTGAATGGGCAAACTAGTAGCATTTTTGAAGGCCTTCTCGATGCCAAAAAGAAAAAAATGACAGTTGCGTTCTCAAAATATTTAATGAAATTATATTTTTTTAAACGAAACACTCTATATTATATCATACATTTCGATTCGTAAAATCATTGTCAACAACAAAGCTCATATCACTTTTCTTCGTGAAGTTGAAAATGAGCATCAGTCTCTATGAAAATTTATTCTTCAAGCAAGTGTTTTAGTGCATTATTTCTGGTAAGAATTAAATTAAAATTAATAAATAATTAATTTAAAAATATTATATTCTATGAGAATTGTGTAAATTTTAATCTACCAAGATTTTACATTCACTTATCCTTGAGACATACCAAATATTTGCGGGCTTGATGCACAGATAAATGCACATTTTGATTATAAAATATGTAGTATAAATAACTTACTGATGGCTTGATAGTGTGTAGTAGTGTGATTTTGTTTTCTTTGCAGGAGGCTACTCACTTCCACTTTCTAACTTATCACTGTCAGACATAGTTCATACTATAATACAGGTTATGTATACTGTAGTTAACAAAACAGTACACACTTAAGCCGGAATTATATTACTGTATCGAGGTGTGTCGTGACACGCCAAAGGCAATCACTGTATTGACGAAATAACGTCAGAGCGCCCCACGGCACGACAGAATGGTCTGCACACTCGCCGTCACGTCAGAGAGCATCACAATACACCACAACATAATAATGTAACTTAAAGGTATCCGAGCTCCGTGTGGCGAGAGAGAATGTAACGCCGGACCAATGGGAAGATAATCTATTAATAAAAACAAACACTGGTCACACTTTTATTCCCTTTTCACATGAAGTAAATCACATATAACGAGTGAACGAGCTTCCCATGACCGACGGCGGTTCAATAAGATATTCCTCATCGGGTGATTAATTCTCACACGGCTTGTACATACGATTCATAAGTGTTTACGAAAGCACTTGAGAATTCAACTGTATATGTTCTAACATACGACCAAGGTTTCCTTTTGGTGGAAACGCTTCGATAAGATGAATACAAAAAGTTGCCCAGTTTCTGTTATGAGGGTTTCAACGTTCAAACCACAGTTTTGCCTCGTTTAGTAAGAATCGACCAATTCTTGATAATGTTCGAACATCATACCAGCCTATCGCAATTTTAATAGCTTCTACTTAACCTATTTGCTGGATTCATTATTTCTGTTCACAGCGATCTGTTCACCAGTGTTATGAGGAATCAGCTCCATCAGAAATGTCGGTGCTGACTTCAAAGTGGTCGTAGATACATCGATGATGTAGAACGCATTGGACGTCCAAATGAGACAGTAATGTCAGAAAACATATAGAAAGTCCACAAAATCATTTTGAACGATCAAGTTTTGTGAGTTAGCTGACATCGTCAAATAAACGTGTTGGCTTCTGTTCGAAGTGGATGCCGCGCGAGATCACTGGTGACCAAAAATAATATATATAATGATATATAATATAATAATAATAAAACAATCGGCTGAAATATTCATCGACCATCTTAAGAAGGGAAATACCATCAATAGTGAATATTATATAGCGTAATTGGAGCGTTTGAAGGCTGAACTTGCAAAGAACACCAATACAGTGCACCGTGTCACAAGTCAATCAAAGCAATGGCAAAAATATATGAATTGAACTTCGAATTGCTCCCACATCCACCGTATTTGTCAGATTTGGCTCCCAGTGACTACTAGCTGTTTGCAGACCCAAAAAATTCTCACCGGTAAGAAATTTAGCTCGAATGAAGTGATTATTGCTTAAACTAGAACTTTTTTTGAATTAAAAGATAAATCGTTCTACAAAAGTGGTATTGAAATGTTAGAGCGGTGCTGAAATGATTGTGTGACTGACTCTTGATGGAGATTACGCTGATGAATGAAGCCGGGACTTTTTAGACCGTGTAGTTACTGAACGGCACAAAGTAAATTGATTCTAAGGCTTATATTTTCAATATCCATCTCATAAGATGACAGTGAAAGACAGAAAAAATATTTTTTCGTGGTCAGTGTCGACGCTTGACTTTGCAACGTTTGAGGTAGGTCTGTTATTAGTTTTTCAAATACATAAAACCAAGTACCAATCGTATAAGTTACCATTAATAACTCAAAACCGGCTGCACCGATTCTCATGATTATTTGTTGTTACCGCCTGGAATATCAGAATTAATATTGAAAAAATAAAAAAATCGGGAAAAAATTTAGGATTATACATCTTGACGATATGTGGTTTTTTAGTTTGACAGTTGTCATGATGCACACATTGAGGTTATGATATTCATGATTGTACGAGCAAGGATAATTGTTATGTCCTGATAGAAGACAAGGAATATCTATCAAATTGACGACATTCGTTTGTTAGGTTATGACAGTTGTCATGTTGCGTACAAAATGAGGTTATAATAACATTTATGATTGTGCATGCATGAATATATGTTATGCCATAATAGGAGCAGAGTTAGTAATATACATCACAGTGTCATTCACAATGCCGCGAACGAGAAAGTCCAATTATATTAGTCACCGCAGTGCATTGCGAATCAATCCACTGCATGAGCGCCGGGTTCCGTATTGCCAGGTCTACTGTTTTAGCAGTAGATTTACTATTGAGGTGGTTGAGCACCAGTTTTACTGTTTGGAAGTGAAAAATATGTTTATAACCCAGTTTCCTGTCTATTCAAATTATTAAATGATCGAATGTTTTGGGAATCAACATTTTCACAGTTTCTTCAGTACGTGAGAGTTGACCATAATTTTTGTAATGAAAATATTTAACTTGAACATATAAATATACCAAATACATTTTGTTGCTAATAATCCAGATAACTGAATCAGTGAAGTGTAAATTTTCGATTCTGAATGTAGAGATGAATTTGAAGGCAGAGAACATCTACTGCCTTTTTTTTGTTTTTGGTAGTGTGGTAGCTTTCATCGATGTCATTTGAAATCTCATTACGTTAATTCTTCATGTCATTTTGAAGGATAAGAACAATACATTTCCGAAACACTTTTCGTACTGTTGGCAAACCTGTAATAATTTGATGCATATTGTGATATATATTTGGAATTCGCTCAGCAAGATTACTCTGCAAATTGAATAACATGTGGAGTATTCCGTGAATGTGTGCTTGCATCCTTGGCCGTACAATAATATACAAAACGTAACCCTCTCTTTTTCTATCGTCACTAATTTGTACCTCTTTCTCAACTTCCGTTCGCTTCGCCCGATCACACTTTTCATAACGCTCTCGTTATGCATTCACCAGCTCACTCCCCAAGTCAAGCGCGCGTAAAGAAGTATTACTTGAAAAGTTGAAAGTTGAAATTCTTGTAATATAAGGATTAACGATGTATTTCTTTTCAACGTGCGATTCCCAGCACGTTCTTCATAATCTGTATAAAGAAACCGACTTGGAAATGAACTCTTGATGCCTCTCTTGCTGGAAATTCAATCTTAATGACACATTATGAAATAAACACGTGATTGGTTATGAAATTATTCAAAAATGGCTTTTGAGGGTCATATCAACTGAAAGTTTCTATGGTTTGTTACAAAGCAATCTATATATTGATAATAATATTAATATACATACAAGAATGTTCTGGTTGACTTCATTATTGAAAGTTTCGATACTGAAACACTTGTTTTTGCAGAGATTGGTCCTATTTCAACGGGCGCAGAAATTGAAATAAACATTGTTTACGAATATTTAGAGTTTTTGTACAAAAAGTTAATATATTCAATCAATAAGTACTCGATTCCCGGAGAGTAAATATTTGGCCCGTTGATTTGTCATTTCTACGTAAAAACACTACTTTTCACCAATGATTGATTGGTATTCCACAAACCTTATTTTGTGTGGGTGAAAATTGAAACATACAAGCGAAT